CCCCCCCCCCCCCCTTCTCCACTTTCCTGGACATGCGAGCAAGCAATCACCCCAAAAACACCATTGGAAAAGCGCAAAAAAAAAAAAGAAAATTAAATAACATCAATGATGATGAAATGTTAACTCTTTTAAGTTCGAACACCACTTCCCCCAAAATATGTAAAGCAATAAACAGAAACAAGTTCTTCCTACGTGCATGCTATTCTATTTGAGGACCTATTTCCTCATTTAACCATCCCTCCTCGAAAACATATCAAGAAACAAAACTATCCTATCATTAACAGATTTTGGATCAGCATGGTGTTGGATAAAAAACACTTCCTGGTACTACCTTTTAGCACAATGATAATGGCACGTTTTAAAATCAGTAGATAGAGGGTTGGATGGCAATGATAAGGATGAAAAATTAGGAAAAAGCTTTGCTCCTACATAACTTCGTTCATTGATTTTTTTAGGCTGTAGATTCCAAAATTCTAATCTTTGCAGATTTTAAGATAGGAAACCCTATGAAGATGACCAATAATTACCCCCCAAAAGCTGTCACCTATTAAGCCAACACTACAACAAAACAAAAGCAAGCTTCCTCAGACCACTTCAATCTTTTCGATCCCACAGAGGAAGGCTTCATTGACCAAATGAAAGATAGATGCATCTGGGATTAATATGTTGAAAAGTAGAAACGGTGTGGAGGTGACTCTGCGAATCTTGAACAGCTAAAGACTAAAAACTGCAGAAAACGTTACGGAAAAAAGTCATATAAACCCCCCAAAAAAATCACAAATCAAGTAAAAATTGAAGACACGTGCAATATACCAAAGCAAAGGGTAATAACAAGCAAGAGCAAAAGACCATGGACTTACAATAAAAAACCCTACAGCTAAAGACGCAACCTGTCATTCAGGTCCCTCCTCCAGCATTGCCAGCAACAGCAGCAGCCTTCAAATTCGAAACAACAAACAAAATAGTCAACACCAAAATATAGCCTTTTCATCTTTCTACTACTTAAAGCATCGCAAAAGAAAAAACCAAGGGTCTCACCGGCTCAATCTTTCCCTCGCCATTAACATTAGCTATAGGAGTTGTTGATGGATTCGAAAACCTGCAAACAGAGAACAGAGAGACCTAATAAGACACCACGCAGCTCGATTCCTATAAGCACCATGAAATGGGAGAAACATGTTATGACATGAATGATGAAAGATGCACCCACCTAAGTGCCCTTGCTTTCCTTTTATCTTCTTCCAAAGGATCAGTTTTTGAAACGGGGGCAAACCTAGCAAGTCGTGCTTTCTTCTTCGCCTCTTCATCTGCAGCTGTAGTTGGACTAGGCATTCCAAACCTGTGAAACAGAATCAGCATCATAACAATCTCCACTTGCATTCCCAGTTAAAAAAAAAAAAAAACATTGTCAGAAGAAAAAAAAAAGAAGGAAAACTAAAAAGCGAAACCTTTCTGCCCTAGCCTTCCTCTTCAGCTCCTCCGATTTCGATGCCTCTGATGATTTCGTTGCCTCTGAACCATGCGATGCGGACACAGTGCCAAACCTGCATGTGAATAAAACGTCCACTTGAGAAAACCCTAAATTATGTTATACACCTAGGGCATCCAAATCGATACATGAATAGACATAGGCATAATAGTGAAATAACATAAAGGATTGAATGTATCTTAGAGAGATTGAGATTCGACCTTTCGGCTCGGGAATTGCGCTTCTCTTTCTCAGACAACTGGACGGAAATGCCGAATCGTTCGGCGCGGCGCATCTTCTTCTGGATGTCAGAGAGAGGAGCGTCGTTTCCTGATTCCGGCGGCGTAGAAGTCTTGGTGTCTGAGGCGGCATCAGCTTCGGTTTCCTTGGCGTCGGCGTCCTTTGCGACGGCGTCATTGGCTTCGGGGGCTGGATCTGGTGCGGCAGAGTCTAGGGTTTTGTCAGGGTTTTCCGGTGCGGGGTTGGTGGTGGTGATGTCGGTAGGGGTTTCCATTGGAAGCGGAAGAGGAAGGAAAAGCGAATCAGAGAAAGAACGGAGTCGCAAGTGGCGTGTGAGATTCCTTGTCCTTCCGTATACTATGGGAGGTGGCTGTGGCGTTCTGAATTTGTTCTTCTTCCTTTTCTAAATTGCAAATTTGCAAAGTGATATTTTATGATACGAGTGTGATATTTATCATATATACACACACACACCTGACACGCGTAAGTTGGTGCTTCGCGTTGGGCTACTGGGCCTGGGCTGGGTGGGCTCGAGTGGAGTAGGGAGTCCAATGACATACCTGCTCTGCTCGTTACAAATTTTATAATCTTCTTCATGTTTGTTAAATTAAGTTACATTTATTAAATTTTAATATTTTTAAATATTAGTTTTTAACATTTAGTAATTTTTAATTTTATATTTGATCTAAATTTAAATAACATGTATGTATAATCCCATAAGCTTGTGTTGTAGAGAGTTATAATTTCATAAATATTTGAAAATGATGTCTGATATATATAATAAGTTAATTGTCTACTTTATTAATATTAAATATGAATTTTTTTTAATAGAGATACAAAGTGTTTTTTTTTTCAAATTAATATTTTCAAATAATCAAAAGTACTCTCTATAATCAAAAGCACTTTGATTGTGAAAAAAAAAAGAAGAACATTTTCCTATGAATCATTTTCTTTTCATTTTACTTAGGCAGGATTTGTTGCTTAATAAGATCAAATAATTTTGCAATTCTTCATATGCAAGTTACCAGAAGTACGCATCCATGACATCTTTGCATAGCCAATTAGCCATTAGCCGCCAGATTCTGAAAGATCTCAAACGTACCTAATGCATTGCTCGGTGCCGCCCCTCACTGTATGGTTTCGTCACTGCTTGCGACTTCAACCTTAACAGTACAAATTATGTCCTATAAATTAATTCACCATTCTCTTCTGTGAGTCTCACATTCAGCATTTGCTATTAGTCTATTGCTTCACCACTTCTTTCCAAAAAGAGAAAGATATTTATAAATGGCAACTCCGTAAGATACATCACATATTTCTTTACGTTCTAAACAACTTTCATGCATAGTGTTTTATTAATTTGACTCATCTCATATTTTCTAATCTTGTGCCATTCTGTCAATTTAGGACTGTGTTAGATGTTCGACCTCCTGCATTAACTTCCATCTCTGAACCACTTCCATTTTTTGATGGAACCACAAGGTGTGGCATTCATCAATTACCTCTATTATAGTTAATAACTAATCTTGTTCACCGCTATGCCCATTATTTTGCTTCTTAGTATATATATAATAATTTAATTATGAGTGCATGTGTTAACTTGGTTTGTCCTTCTAGGTTGTATACATTTGCTATTTGTGCCCTTATGCTCAACGTGCATGGATAACTAGGAACTGCAAGGTTGTTTTCGACACTGTGCCTTTTCTTTCAGCTTTCAATTAGTTCTTATGCTACAAAGCCTGGTTCTTCTGATGTACAATATCTGCTAAATTCTTGTCCCTTTTGTTTATTAATTAGTGATTATTTGTGAACTACACAAGGGACTGCAAGACAAGATCGAATTGGTCCCTATTGACCTTAAAAATAGGCCTTCTTGGTATAAGGAGAAAGTTTACCCTCTGAATAAGGTAGATACATGGTCAATATACTTTAACTGGAGAAAGCTATTTGATTTGTTGATATCATGGCACGTTCTCCTTATATGTTTTAGGTACCATCATTGGAACACAATGGCAAGGTTTTAGGAGAAAGTCTTGATTTGATCAAATATATAGACACCAACTTTGAAGGGCCACCTCTATTTCCCAGTGTAAGAACTAAACATTAATTTTAATTATAAGTTATTGCCACCCGTTAGTATTTGAATTTATTTTAGAACAAAACTTAGATACAAAATCAAAAATTATGTTAGTATTATTATTCAATCAGAGTAAAAGTTTTATATTGGTAATACATGTTAATATTTAAGGGAATTCTTTATTATACATATTATTAAAATAAAACTCTAATTTTGATTAAAGAACGTCAATTACGGTACCTATGGTAATGCATGTTAATTTTATCTTTTACTAAAAGGGAAGTTATACTGAGAAAGCAATTTTTTCAGGATCCTGCCAAGAGAGAATTTGGTGAGCAGTTGATATCCCATGTTAATACGTTCACCAGTGGCATATACTCTTCATTTAAAGGAGATGTTGTACAACAAACCAGTAAGATCTTGAAGTTTAAGTAGAAAAGAAAAGATACTGAGGAATAAGGATATAGAATATATTGTTGGATGATTTAAAATTGAAAATGTGAATCATGGTGCTGCTTTTGATTATTTGGAGAATGCTCTTGGTAAATTTGATGATGGACCATTCTTCCTTGGCCAATTTAGTTTGGTAAGTTTAAATTCTCATCAATCAGCTTGAAATTTTGTTAACTTAGTTGAACATTAAGAGCAATTGTATTCATTTGACCAGAAAGTTTTCTCTGATCCACATGTGATCTAGTTACATACAAGGAAAGAGAAGTAGCCATATCATGATGTAATAATAAAAAATAAAAAAAAACATTGTTGTGTACAGTATAAGAAAAAATGCATGACATTTTTTCCCCCAAACATTCTAATGATTTATAAACTGTGGCTATCATCAGGCGGATATTGCCTATGTTTCATTTCTTGAAAGGTTCCAAATTGTCTTCTCTGAAATTTTTAAGCACGACATCATGGCAGGAAGGCCCAAACTAGCCACATGGATTCAGGTTCGTAGTTTCGTGCAATCCATTTCTCTTTATTTTTTTTAAGGAAAAAAGAAAAGCATAGTAATTTGAAAGTCTATTCGGATTTATAAGGCCTGACTAGTGACTATCTCCTTAATTTTGATTTCTTTATATTAACTGAGTCCAAAATATGTACATTTTTTGTGAATTTTTGTTGCAGGAGGCGAATAAGATTGATGGCTATAAGCAGACAAAAGTAGACAGGGAGGAATATTTGGAAGCTTTGAAGAAAAAATTCTTGGTACTATAAACTTCCTATACTCATAAATCTAGGATCATGTTGTTTGAAAATTTGTGGTTTCTGTCTTGCTATGCTTTTTGCTAGTTTGCTAACCGTTTATGTTTATACTCTGTAGGCTTAACGGTGTACGTGAGTTACTGCTGCTGCGTTGGTGTTTAAGATTATAAGATAGTCAATAAAGATTTGTTTACATTTATGGAATGTTTTTTCAATTTGAAATTAGTGTGTTCTATTTCCTTGTTTGTGTTGCAGTTACTTTGATTTCTCAATAATGCTTTTGTATGGGACAATCCAATTGTATAGTCCCACATTCTAATAAGCTGAAGACATGTTTGATTTGGAATTCGTGACTTGATGTTATTGTTACGTGCTTATCATCAAAATGACAACTTTTTAGCACGAAGGTATTTTCCTTGAAAGAACAAATTTTCTAACAGCAGATATATATATATCGATAGAATCCATTATGAATAAGAGTAGTTTAGTTGGACACTAATAGATATAATTTTTTGTCTACCATTTGTAAATGAGGTAGAAACAAGTATAATAATACCTACAGAAGTCAAATATTCGGTAGGTTAAACGTGAGAACTAAATTGATTTGGTCTAACTTATAAATGGATCATATTGTTTTACTTCGATCTAGTTTATTAGTTCGTTAGATTAACAGGCTAAATTATACTACTTTATTTTTATATTAATTTTACATGTATTTAAAAAAATAAAAAAACATTAGACCAAATATTCATTCCTTTTAAGTCTATTTTTTATTGGTCCGATTAGTTATTTAGCTGGATCAAATTGGCTTAATTTTTTTCCGACTTAAAAATAAAAGTTTGACATAGTCTAACTTGACAAATCAGTTAATTTTGATAATCCTAATAACATTCTTATATGTGGATACCTGATATGTAATATTAGTTAATTATGGTTAAGTTTTTACTTATCATTACTTGAACTAAGTGAGAATTTTATATTTTGGTGAGTTACAATTGTTTTATCTTTACCTGTGTTAATGAATCTATAACTTTGGTGTATTTTGAATAAGTTATTGGTATTTTTAAATTGATTAATGATAAGTTTATTTTGTAATGTGATGAAATAACAAATGAAAAAAATACTTCCAAAAGAATTAATATTAATAGAAGTATAAAATTATCTCAATGAAATATTTATTATTTATGTAAATGCAGAGAATTTATACATTTAAAATTTAATTTGTCCACTCATTAATCTACAAAAATTTCACGAAAACAAACATTTAATAATTTTTTTAAAAACATTCTATATATCAAAAGAATTTATCTAATATCTCTTCATTTTAATTGTCAGAGTTTCATATATATCATTAAAATTATATAAATTTAGAGTTTATAAATAATTTATCTAATATTTCTTCATTTTTCTCTTTCATATTAACTATCAGAATTTCATAATTCATTAATAAATTTTATGACTTTTTAAGTAATAATTGATTTTAGGAAATCAAAATAAAAAATAATAATAATATAATATCAATTTTTAATTAATATATATTATTAAAATTATATAAAATCTTCTGCATTAATTTTGCAATAAAAAAAATCTACGTAAATCATGCAAAAACATAAATCTAATTAAAAAAAAACAATTTATATATTGAAACAATTTCTCTAATTTCTTTTATTTTTTCACTTCATATTAATGGTCAAAATTCATAATTGATTAATAGATTTCATAACTTTATTAAGCAACAATAGATTTCACGAATCAAAATAAAAATTTATATATATAATATATATATATATATTAATTTTACAGCTTACAATATAAAAATAATTACGCATTTCAATAATAAAATGTAATATATGTTATTTCTTTAATTATCAAATGAATTAAAAATAATGTATTCGGTCTACTTAATTTATAATTTATTATTAATGAAAATTCAAATTTTTGAATGAATTAAAAATAATTACAATTTTTTATAAACTTCACATTTTAATAATTTAATGCAATATATATGTTATACTTATTTAGAATTTTAAACAATGTATTTAGTATATTTAAACTTCACCTATCTCAATAAACATTTATTTATCCTTCTATTTAAAGTTCTCTTATATCATGTTCTTCAAATTTTTCTATCATATATTAATCTATATAAAGTGAACAACTTTGACAATAAACACATGTAACAAAAATAAACGATTTTTATAAACATTTTTCAATGACTAACATTTATAACACTAAATACTACGAAACAAAGTTATATATCTTTCATTCTCCAAAAGTGAATAACTTCTCCAATAAATACAGGTAGAAAAAAATTATACTATTAAGCATCCTTTAATGGCTATCATTTAAAACACTAAATAGTAAGGAACAATTTTCAAAGTTATTGGCTACACACATTCCATTCTCATGAAGTTACTTTCATCAAATGATTTTAAAACACACACACTATGTATATGTATATATATATATATATATAAGAAATGATCTGTTTACTCCAAGAATAAGTCTACCTTAACCTATTTTGTTTAATAACTAATGTTCAATATCAAATTTTAATGATCTAATCATTGAATTTAAAGTTCTTAGTACATAGATCAAGTTTGCAATTTTTTAAAAAATTTGAAAATTATTTAATACTTCATTTCATTAATTTAAATTGACGGATAATTAAAAAAATATTTTATACATTAAGAACTTTAAATTCAACAAGTAGATCATTTAAATTTGATGTAGAACATGAGTTATTGAACGAAATAAAGGTAGACTTACTCATAGAGTAAATGAATCTCTTCTCTCTCTCTCTCATCTATATATATATATATATATAAACAACCTTGAACCTTCAATTATAATGTTTTCACCATCATATATCTTCATTCTCAAGTGGTTTATTTGATATTTCATTTGAAAAATATTTCTATTGAATTTTGGTATTTTATTTTCTTTTTTTTATTGTATATATACACTGCACTTTTATTTTATTTATGTTAATATTGGAAGGTCATGGATACATGATATGTTTTGCATATTATCTATTTGATAATTATTTGTTGTTTCGTTTGAAAATCATTTTTAATGCATGTTTTTTTTTTGTTTAATTTAAAAAATGCATATTATGCTTTGTAGATGGAAAACCTAAGTCATAATCATGATTATATTTTGAAAATTAATGAAGAATGCATTCATAATTTGAAAGAAATGACCTTTCATTGGAAGATCATTGTTGTTTAAGTAAAACTTAAAAAAATGCAAACAATCAAAATTATTTAAAAAATTTATTGTATTACTCGTGAATTCATAAATTATCATTATGTTTTATGAAATCTTTGTATATTGATTTTTTTTTATTCTTTACATTCATTATTATCCTTTCATTTTGTTTATAATTTTTTTTATAAATCTATGTTAAATTCTAATATATTGTTGATTTTTTTTCTTATTATATACATTTAACAACAGGTGCCTTTTGATTTATTTTTTTTATGATATTGCTGTCTTGTGGTATTACATTCACTTGAATGTTATTTAGTTGTATTATTTTAAGTAGTAAACTTTAAGTTATTATTTGAAATTTACATAGTGTACTATCTTAACCAATATATTTTATAGTTGATTGATAGATATTGTCACATAATAATGTGATATAGTTAAACTATATGATTTTTTATTTTTTCTTCTTTCATTTTAAGCATATTAGATTTATAAAGTTTAATTAATTGGTATGATTAATTATCACAAATTTCAAAAGATAATCAATTGATAGTTTCAATATATGTAAGTTACTAATATTTTTAAGCTAAGAATGAAACAATAACACAATTTCATACTTCGAAGTAAAAAAATATATTACAATATTAATTAATATAAGTCAAACACATATATTAAATGTATTGTCACTAAATTTATTTAAAAGGAATTCATATAATTGATAATTAAAACTATTTTTTTTGCTTTAATAAGAATGTATAACTTTTTTTTTACTGAATATTTTCTATAAAAATAAAAAAAAATATCTTCGATCGTGATCCCATATCCAAATTAAGATCAAATTGTGATCTTTGATTAAAAAATATAAATATTAGACCATTTAAACTAACAACTTTTAATATAAATATTACATAATCAACTTTTTTCTATTATTATAGATAAAAATAACAATAATTTTAAAATATAAATAAAATATATTTTAAAACATAAAATTAATAAAAAAAAGGTTTTTGTTATATACATATATATATATTATAAAATATATCTTAAATTAATAATTCGTGCATCTCACACTAACTGATAATATAAATACAAGTTCAAATTATTTTTAATATGCACAAATATTAATAAAATTTGCAAGTATGAAGATGAAATTTTATCCTAGGGACTGAGGGACAGGGCCTACAACCCACCCAACAGTCCATTATAATCCCTACCTGCCATCGATGGGACGACAAAATAAAATGTAAAATTCATTATTCACAGGTTTCTATCAACTACTTCATTTACACCTTTATTCTTTTAGCATACTAGCTAGTGTGAATGTGTGATATCATGTTTCATTTCTTTCTTCTTCACTTCTTTCTGCTGTATTTTTCTTGTATCAAACAAAGGACAAGTAAGGAGTGTTCAGAATTAAAAATTATACACAAAACGAGGGCAAAAATTCTGCATGGTGGCAAGAGAAATGGCTGGTGGTTAAGACTTTTGAAATGTTTCCTCTAAACATTGACTAAGAAATATTTAAGACTTTGTATATAAATATATATTTGAAGAATACTACAATGTTTCCTCTAAACATTGACTAAGAAAAATAAATTTTAATGAAAATAAAAGTGTTTACTATATTAAAAATATAAATATATATTTATTTTTAAATAAGGAAAATCTTAATTGATATTTTTAAAACATTTTAAAAAATAAGAGTAAAATGTAGGTAACAACGGTGACAAGAAAAATGGTTAATGATTAAGACTTTCATACACGGTAATAAATTTATCTTATTCAGAATGCAGACAACATCTTACGTCACAATAAATTATTAATTCAATTAATACTAAATTTGATCTTTCTATCAAAAGAATTTTTTTTATTAAAAATGGTCAATTAGATAAAAAACAAGTTAATGTTTAGCATTGATAAGATAATTATTTTTTAAAAAATCATTTATACTGTTTTAGTTCATAGCTAGAAGTATGAAGATCTAAATTCAATCCTTGTTGCAACTATCTTTATAATCTTTCCTATTTTATAAAAAAAAAAAAAAAGAAACATCTTTCCTATTATTAAAACCCGCCAAATGGGTGGTAGGTAAGGCTTTGATAAGTGAAAGTAAATTTGTAAGACTTTATAATACATGAAAAGTAAAGTATTACTATTAATCAAACGCACTCATTCACAATTTTGTTTTGACCAACGTAGTCCATGGTCACTCCTGTAAAGGTGTTCGTGACTGTCCACCCAAACCGCTCAGAATTATTTTGTGAATTTGCCTCAAAACATTAACAGTGTCAATGGCAGCTGCGTAAGACATCTACTTCTTCTACAAATCTCTTACTCTTACTGCTTTTCATTATTTCAATGATGAAATGATCAATTCATCTTTTTCACTTTTCTAACTTAAACCTCTCACTCTGTTGTGTTTCTGATGCAGAGGTGTTAGGATTCCACCCTTGACATCCACTTCCAACCCACCTCCACTTTTCGATGGAACTACAAGGTTTCATTCCCATCCCAAGCTTGTTCATATGAACATATTGTATTTCTTTCTTTTTTTAATAAATATGTTATCTGTATAAAGTATTTCGGCTAATCTCAATAAAAAAATCTGGTTGACCATTTTATGGATTATCTTCTCTCAACTATATTTTTTTTATTCACAAAATTTGAAACCGAGAACTTTCTGTCAGATATCATTCCAACCAACTTGTTGGTATATGGATATATGATCTATATGAATATTTGTTTGGGTTTTTCTTTTTCAGGCTGTACATCAGTTATACATGCCCGTATGCACAACGAGTATGGATTGCCTTCAATTTTAAGGTCTCTCTCTAATAATATGTATTTTTTTTTTTTCTTACAATCTTGTTTAAGCAGTGGCAGCCCTGAACATGGGCTGGTGGAGTAACTGTCTATGATTTGTTGGAGAGGTATAAAAGAAATATTATTTAGTTAATATAATATAACAAATTATTACATAATCAAATTATTAAAAATCTATTAAACAAAGGAAAAATACTCTTGTTTTGGCTGGGAGGTTTTATCATTTTTTTCTATTAATTTCTTTCACATGGAGATTGGTCACACTCTTT